CCGATTATGCTGGAAATTTCTCTCCAAGTGATACGAAGATCATCCTGACTCAATCTGTCAATCTTTTGATTGTGAAACTCGGTGGTTGCTGTCACAGGACGTCCAACTCTTTGTTGGTCACACAAGTCAGATGTTCCCACCTCAACATCTTTAAACTTATTTGACCAACGACGCAATGACTGTACATTGTTTAAGTTGCATTGACCAACCATCTGTGCAGGGTTCTATATTTTGCACTTTAACAACACAACCGTTTAATGCTAAGGCTTCCCGCCAAAATGGAACTGTGGAGGAGAGTCTACTGAACAAGCCAGTACCTGCCACATACCAGTTCTGCTGTCTGTTGAGGCATTACTTTTCACTTTAACAACACAACCGTTCAATGCTAAGGCTTCCTGCCAAAATAGAACTGTAGAGGAGAGTCTACTGAACAAGCCAGTACCTGCTGCATACCAGTACTGCCATCTGTTGAGGAGTTACGAAGGTGGAGGCATTACTTTTCACTTTAACAACACAACCGTTCAATGCTAAGGCTTCCCGCCAAAATGGAACTGTAGAGGAGAGTCTACTGAACAGGCCAGTACCTGCCGCATACCAGTACTGCCATCTGTTGAGGAGTTACGAAGGTGGAGGCATTACTTTTCACTTTAACAACACAACCATTCAATGCTAAGGCTTCCCACCAAATGGAACTGTAGAGGAGAGTCTACTGAACAAGCCAGTACCTGCCGCATACCAGCACTGCCATTGGTTGAGGAGTTACAAAGGTGGAGGCATTACTTTTCATTCAACCCTTGTCTATCTGTGATGAGCCCCGGAGACCAACCCGATTGCCATAGGAACACTCTGCCGACTTCAGCTCCGAAAGGTCAAAGCCAAAGTGACTGATCCCCCTCCGGTCAGATGGAATGATTCCGATCTATTTTTAATCGGCGGTTGTCGCATTTCCGACTCTGCCACTCCTGCCACGGCAGCCCACCCGTTTGTGGCGTTTCTCCCAGGCGGATGCTTGGCTCCCCTTTTTGGGCTCAACTCCACACCCACTCTCCACTTCAGAGGGAGGCCAAGGACAAAGTAGAAAACCCTGGACGTGGTTGGGAAGGAGAAGTCAAGCTAAAGGGTTTCTAAGTACGGCACATGCAAATACAATGCAATAACTCCAACCTCCTGCTTGCAGTCCTGGAGTCTTTTGGAGCATTGCTCCACAGGGCAGAAAGGTCTAGGCTGGTCTCCAAATGGACATCATCATGCACTCCTCCAATGGCCTCTTGGTGCTCATGCCCCCATTGCACCGACTCCTCTGGGAAGCTTCCCAGCGGAGTGGAAATCATCTATCTGTTATAGAACTCCAGTATGCTGATGACAACATCATCTGTGCACATTCAGAAGAAGACCTACAAGCCACTCTCAACACCTTCGCAGAAGCATACGAGAAGCTCGGCCTGTCATTGAACATCGAGAAAACCAAGCAGTCACCAGCCAACCCCTCTCCAATGCCAGAGATACAGCTTCATGGTGTAAACATTAGAAAATGTGGACTATTTCCACTCCTTTGGCAGCCACCTCTCCACCAAAGTCAACGTCAACACTGAAATACAACACCGCCCGAGCTCTGCGAGTGCAGCATTTTTCCGAATGAAGCACAGAGTGTTTGAGGACCGGGACATCCATTGGGAGGCCAAGGTGCTTGTCTATAAAGCTATTGTCCTCCCAACCCTGCTCTACACCTGGGAAACGTGGACTGTCTACAGACGTCAACACTGACAGTGAAATACAGCACCACCTGAGCTCTGCGAGTGCACAATTTTTCTGAATGAAGCAGAGGGTGTTTGAAGACCGGGACATCCGTAGGGAGACCACGGGGCTTGTCTATAAAGCTATTGTCCTCCCAACCCTGATATATGCCTGTGAAACGTGGACTGTCTACAGACGTCACATGCAACTCCTGGAACAATTCCATCAGCGCTGCTTCCGGAAAATCCTGCAAATCTCTTGGGAAGACAGGCGGGGAAATGTCAGTGTGCCGTAAGAAGCAAAGACCACCATTGAAGCGATGGTCCTCCGCCATCAACTCTGCTGGACCGGCCACATTGTCTGGATGCCCGACCACCATCTCCCAAAGCAGTTGCTCTACTCTGAACTCAAGAATGGAAAACGGAATGTTGGTGGACAGGAAAAGAGATTTAAAGATGGGCTGAAAACTCTAGCATGGACACTGAGAATTGGGAAGCCCTGGTCTGTGAGTGCTCCAGCTGGAGGTCAGCTGTGACCAGCAGTGCTGCAGAATTTGAAGAGGCACGAATGGAGGGCGAAAGAGAAAAACGTGCCAAGAGGAAGCCGTGTCAAGCCAACCCCGACCGGGACCGCCTTGCACCTGGAAACTAATGCCCTCACTGCGGAAGGGAGAAGATGCAGATCAAGAAGAATCATAGAATCATAGAACCAAAGAGTTGGAAGAGACCTCATGGGCCATCCAGTCCAACCCCATTCTGCCAAGAAGCAGGAATATTGCATTCAAATTACCCCTGACAAATGGCCATCCAGCCTCTGCTTAAAAGCTTCCAAAGAAGGAGCCTCCACCACTCTCCAGGGCAGAGAGTTCCACTGCTGAACGGCTCTCACAGTCAGGAAGTTCTTCCTCATGTTCAGACGGAATCTCCTCTCTTGTAGTTTGAAGCCATTGTTCCATTGCGTCCTAGTCTCCAAGGAAGCAGAAAGGAAGCTTGCTCCCTCCTCCTCCTCCCTGTGGCTTCCTCTCACATATTTATACATATTTATACAGAGGGCTCCACAGCCACCTACGAACCCACCGCCAGGACACCGAACTTGGAGGACCATCATCCTTGGACTACAAGGGATTGCCTAAGTAAGTAAGCCCCGACTCTCCTTGCAAAGAGGTGCTCCTTGAACCCGCAAAAGGAAACCCTTTGGCTTGGCCTCCCACTCTCAGAGCTCTTTGGCCAGACAACAAAACCACAATGTGGATCTCTTTTTAGGTCTGATGCCAGGCGGCCCAAACAGGGAAATGTTCTCTCTGCCTCTACCAGCCGGAGAGGAAAACCAAGCCATGAACAAGCAAAAAGAACAACCAAAAAAAAAAAAAAAAAAGAGTCAAATGCAAGTTTCCAGGCATTTGCTTCCCAGAACGGATCCGGGCACGGGGCTGGAAGCATCTCAGAGATCAATGGCACTGGCTGGAAATAGTAAGTGCTGAGTAAGGATCCCCATCGTTTCCTTTTGGAATTGAAACTGACAAGCCAAGAGAAAGTTTGCAAAGTCAGGTTTGGGAAGGGCAGGAGGGGGAACTCCGCTCTCCAGACTTAAAGACAAAGAGGTTTGCAAAGAAAGGATTGTACCCACAATTCGTTCACAGCGTTGGGTGTATACATTCATACATACTGGCGATACTATGCTAATAATATAATATATTGTGTGTGTGTGTGGGTCTATATACACACACACACACACACTAGCTGTCCCCTGCCACATGTTGCTGTGGCCCAGTCTATGTCTTTTGTGTGTGTATATGTGCATATATGTGTGGCATATAGATAGATAGATAGATAGATAGATAGATAGATAGATAGATAGATAGATAGATAGATAGTTTTGCACATGTGCTGTGATGTTTATTTGTTTTTTGTTGGTTTTTTTTGGCTTTTTAAGTCTCTTCCGCTGTGTTTTTCAGTGTTTTTATGTGTGATGGTCACTCGCTGGTCTGTTAGGGGTATTGTGTCCAAATTTGGTGTCAATTCCCCCAGTGGTTTTTGAGTTATGTTAATCCCACAAACGAACATTACATTTGTATTTATATAGATATACTAGCCATCCCCTGCCACGTGTTGCTGTGGTCCAGTCTGTGTATCTGTGTGTGTGTATGTATGTGTATGTGTGTGTGTGTGTGTAAATATATATACACACACACATATATATGTGTGTGTATATATTTGTGTATGTGTGCATATGTTCTGGCCCAACTTACATGTCCAAACGTATCTCCCCTTATGAACCATCTAAGACCTTAAGATCATCTGGGGAGGCCCTGCTCTCGTTACCGCCTTCAGCACAAGTATGTTTGGCGGAGACAAGAGACAGGGCCTTCTTGGTGGTGGCCCCTCGGCTATGGAACGTCCACCCTAGGGATATTAGCTCAGCCACCTCCCTTTTAACATTCCACTACAGTAAATAAATGGATAATTATGTATGTGTTTGTGTATATATGTGGTTTTACGCATGTGTTGTATATTTTGTTTTTTGGCTTTTTAAAGTCCGTTCTGCTGTGTTTTTCAGTGTTTTTATGAGTGATGGTCATTTGTTGGCTCGAAAAGTGTATTGTGTCCAAATTTGGTGTCAATTCCCCCAGTGGTTTTTGAGTTCTGTTAATCCCACAAACGAACACTACATTTTCATTTATATAGATGTTGTTGTTCATCTGTTCAGTCGTTTCCAACTCTACGTGACCTCATGGACTAGCCTTGAGGTCATGAAGAGACCTCATGGCTGATTGTGAGATCCATCCATCTATCCATCTATCCATCTATCCATCTATCCATCTATCCATCTATCCATCTATCCATCTATCCATCTATCCATCTATTCATCCATCCATCCATCCATCCATCCATCCATCCATCTATCTTGTAAGCCGCTCTGAGTCCCCTTTGGGAGTGAGAAGGGCAGCATAGAAATGTTGTAAAGAAATAAACAAATAAATAAATGTGTCCTGGTGCCTTTGTTTTATAGCTGCCAGCTCCAAGAAACCCATGCACAGCTAAAGCAGTGAGATCCCCTCACCTGGGGTCCTCAAAATAAGGTCCGGGGGCCCAATACAGCCCTCCAAGGTCATTTACCTGGCCCTCGCTCAGGGTCAACCTAAGTCTGAAATGACTTGAAAGCACACAACAATAACAGCAGGAACAACAACAACAACAACAACAATCCTATCTCATCAGCCAAAACCCTAACCCCCACCCCCACCCCCCGGCGGCCTCCCAGCCTACCTTGGAGATGAGTTCGTCGTGGTTGGCCAGGTGTGCCCTGCAGTGGATGCAGCTGTAGGTGCGGTGGCAGGAAGGCAGGTAGGCCTGGAAGGTCTTGGAGCGGGTCATCTTCACCATTGGCGCCACCGAGCTCGGGGGGAACTCGTGGGCGGCCCAGGAGGCGCTCCCACAGGAGGGGTCGCAGGGGAAACACTGGAAGACGCAAGTAAAGGCCGTGGCGTGGCCGGGGGCAGGTGTGGGGCGGGCTCCACACACTGCCGGCAACGGGCTTCAGGGGAAGACAACCGGGCACGCGGGCCGGACAACCTCCGCGGAC